CGGCTAAAATGACCTGGTCCTCAGCAGGGCCCTTCTCTCTCTGTACTTCTTCATGGAAACCAGCCGAGCCTGTGGGCTGCCTGCAGTGCTTTAACCTCCGAGGTTGCTTCTTCCATACCAGCTCTCTCTCTCTCTAAGCTGAGCTTATTCGCATTTCACAGTTGGTAGCTAATTGAAAACAAAATTTCTAATGTACACATTACAACTGACACATAAATCCCAGTGCACCTTCTCTAAGGTCTGCAGGGGAACCAGTTTATTTGGGGGAGGAAACAGACATTTTGTCACTCCGCATGTCTTTGTCCTCCTACATAACTGTAATTAAGCCAGCACGCAGTGTATTGTCCAGAGACAGCAGGATTAAATAAACTATAGAAAGCACACATTGGGAATACCGTGCTGCCACGCAAATGATTCTAGAAAGCAGTAACATCACAGATATAGTATGCTTGCCAGGTATGAGGCCCAAGTGCCTTCTACAGCTTATTTTACTTATTTGTCACAAATGTAACACAAATATGACTGTTACTCCTATTATTACTATTTTATAAATTAGGAAGATGAAGAGCTAGGAGATGACGACCAAATTAAATCCCAGTGAAACAAGGATTTCAAGTGACATTGTCTGACATTAAACACTGTGTTCTTCAGGTGTCTGAGTCTAATTTTGCAAAGCTGTAGAGCAGAAAGATGACGGCATACTGGATTGGGAGTTGTGGGGGCATGCAACAAAGCCAAAGAGAACGCCGGCATGCATTTATAGCTTGATCCCAAATACATACAAAGGAAAAGATTAGGAAGAAGTACACGAAAATACCAACTGTGGTTTTATGTTGGCTGCTTTTTCATATACTTATCTTCATTTATCAGTGAGCCTGTGTGTAGGTATATGTACATACACATATAAATATATATTTTCCCACAGTGAGAAATACTTTCCAAAAAAGTAAAGCTTTTTACTAATTTTGCAGGTATATTTATTTACTAGAAGTCAAATGGTCCAAAATCATGAATACAATCAAAGAAATATTTTTTTCCTTATGAGATTTCAAATGTTCAACAGTGTACCACCATTTAAATAAATGTATAAAACAGAAGAATCAAGAGGCACAACACCCATTAAAAGAATATTTTTTAAAAGAATATTTCAAGATGGGGGAAAATGGAAAAATTAGGCTTCCAGAAGGGTTGTGCACGATGCTGAATCTTGCTTTGTGCACACGCACATACCTTCCAAACTGCACTTATGCTTATCTCTAGGGATGGAACTAGGTTCACCTTCCTTCCGTATGTATGAGCTTTTGTATTTTCTGTGTTTTCTACTACGAACATGAGCTGTTTTCATATTTATAAAAATATAGTTAAAACCTGGCAACGTCTTCAGAAGTAACCTCAGTAGGAAATGAATCTACAGGTTCGGAATGGCAGAGGAGAGGGGTCTTGGGTCGGGAAAAGAATCCTGCTCTGCAAAGGAACACAGCACTTCATGGTTTCCAGCCAAATTCCATCAGTGTGCGAGTCAACGGCAGATGCTTGGGGCAGAGAAGGCACAGGGGATGCCCAGAAGGGACCGCTCTGAAACTGCTCGACCTCGTAACAGCAAATCACTGCTAAGACAGTCCACACCACGCGAGCCAGATGCTACGTGAGACGAAGAACAGAATTTCCCTTTCGCAGCTTTCTCCTTTCTAGACAGTTAAATGAAAGCTCATGTCTCCAAGATTTCAGGTTCAGACTCCTGAGTGGTGTCTGCTTGGGCTACTGCTTCAACATAAGCATGGTCTGTCCTGTTTTTCTTTTCTTTTTTCTTTTTTTTTGGTACCGGGAGTTGAACTCAGGACCTTGTGCTTTCGAGGCAGGTGGCGGCACCAATGAGCTAAATCCCCGGCCCTGTCCTGTTTTTCTAATGACTTTTGTCCTTAAGCGAACACTTCTGATGCCCATTAGATCAATATGACAGATTTTCTAGGGAGAAATTAATTTGCAGACAGAGCGGCTGAATGCAGTTTCTATACAATGTGCACTAGAACCACAAACCAATTTCGGGAATATACACTGGCTTGTTATGAAACCCCTAGGACAGATTTTTCACCTCAATATGCAGGGTTTAGTTTAAGACACACACACCCACACACACCCCTTTTCTGCACTCAGTGGAATCCTAAGTAGGGTCAATACTCAGACCCACAGCTTTTTCTGTGGACATAAGGGTTCCCCCAAGGCAGCCCGAAGCCCATATAAATCTTGGTGTTATATCAGAGTTGAGTACTTCCATCTACATGAATCACAAAGAAAACTGGAAAGACTAATCAATAAATAAAAACTAGAGTCAAACCATCCTCATGGTTATACCGGCCAACACAGGTACTGAGTTTTGTAATTAAATGCTCAGCGGCTTAAAATTCCACAGCCCCTAGCCTGGGAGTATTTAGAGTGTGAGACAGAAGACCCACAGGAGTGGTAGCGGGCACAGTGCCTCGGCCTCAGCTTCACAGTAGCAGCAGGGCCACTCCCTGCAGTAAGGGGCTGACCTGTGCATGCAGGGGGTCATCCGGCTCTCCCACTGCTTGCTTTGGGACAACAGAGCTACCACCAGACATTCCCAACTCTGCAGGGGTGGGGTGGCTGCGGAGGGTCACGTGACTTCCCTGATTACAGGAGTTTCCTGCGTCCAGAGCCACTCCCCACCAAGTGGTTGTCAGGCCACAAACACCTTGCAGAGCAGCCATGGCTCCCCATGTGGCTGCAAGCCTCTGCCAAGTGACGATGCCTCAGACGCTTAACCGTCTCAGCGGGGCTCGCAGCGCCTCAACTCCACGCCATGTGGCCAACTCCAAAGGCCACGGTGAGGGTCCTCCAGGGCGGGTCAGTGAGTCCAGGCCCGATGTCAAAGCCCATGAACACCACTCCAAGGCCCCTGGGTGTGTCTGTTCATTTGCACATGGGTTGATGCTCTGATGGTAGGCGCAGCACAGAGTGCCTGACCCACAAAGCAGAGGCCGCTTAGGACTAGGCCATGGCAGGCGCTGTCGGTGACTGGACGGTCTGCAGAGTCCCCCAGGGCTCCTTGCATGGGAAGCCTGGTCCTCAGTGCGGTGCAGTTCTGGTGGGCGACCCTTAGGAGGTGGGCACCAGACTGGGCAGGGGCCCTCTGTAGCTACCTGTTTTGGGTATCATCCTCTCTGCCCTTGAGATGCCCCTGCCATGAGGTCATATAGTTATAGTTTATTTATTTATTTATTTTTTGGTACCGGAGATCAAACTCAGGACCTTGCGCTTGTGAGGCAGGTGCCAGAACCGCTGAGCTAAATCCCAGGCCCTACCTATAGTATTTTAAAAAGCACTGGCTGACAGTGCAGCCACTATGGAAAAGTTTGACAGTTCCTCAACACGTGAAACATGGTCATCAGATAAGGCGGCAGCGGCATTCCACCCCTCAGCACACACCACAAAGAAACGAAATATACATCCACACAGAAATGTGGGCACGCATGTGTGTAACAGCATCAGCCCTAATAGCCAAAAGGTAAACAGAACCCAGGCACCCACCAGCCGACGCACACAGCGTAACAAAATGAGGCCATCCCGCCACACAATGGACGCTGTTCTGCCACGAAAAGGAAATGACACGCAACGGCATGGATGAGCTCAGGGCTGAACCATTACACCAAGTCAAAGCATTTGTCATAAAATTCAATCTCTTGCAAATTTTTTTGAAAAAATTTTGTTTTTATTGACATTTTACTAAAATATTTTGTTCAAATATTTAAGTCACGTCAAAATGTTTATGCATATTTTAACTTGTTAATGTAATATTATTGACAGCAACACCTTGGTTCACAAATGCTTCTGTTTGTGAACAATTCAGTTCAGGAACAGAAGTGTTTAGCAAAATTATGCTTCCGCTTACGAACTCCGCATCAGGTGATGAACATGACCACAGCCATCTTAAACCCATGTGAACACAAACATGGCCGTTTTCCCCAGAATCGTGGAAGAAATTAAGTTTGTGAACTAAAAATACCCCAAACAATAAGGCTTTTATTTTAGTTAAAGTTAGGGCTCTTACTTTAGTTCTGGTCAGTTCTTTTTAAAACAGTAAAACAAAGATCTCCAAATGTTCAACCTTTATGTTTTAAAATAACAAAAATTATGTCTATGTGGGACTTTTTTGAGGGGGTAGTTACTAAAAAAAAAAAAAAAAGCACTAAAGAATAAAACAAAAATGACAAAAATAAGAAAAGAAAAGAAAACCCTAAATTCTCATCTATCAAAAGATAGCAAGATAAGCCCCCACCTTCCCTCCCTTCTCTCTCAGGGCTCACAAATGCTAAGCACACTCTCTATGAGCCACACCTCCAGCCCCAGTAACCACTTTTCCAGAACTTCTGGGGCTATTTCCAGTTTTACTTGGATGTGGACTTCAATTCTTGACACCTATGGACACACAGTTATTTGCTTTGTATCCTGGACACGCTCGTATCTCAGTAGATTTATCCATTGTAACCTCAATGATCCCCTAATAAGTTTCAAGGTTAACCCGCAAATCAATCTGCACATGGACACAAATCCTATTAAGAAACTAATCAAGCACAGAATTAAGGTACAGGAGCCAAATAAAATCTATACTCATGTGTCCAATTATGATTAGTACTTCAGCTTAACTACAATTCATAATGTTGACAAGACAGAGTGATTTCCAAAGGTGTCACGGTAAGACTGAAAAGTTTATTAAGCCCATCTAGGATCCACAGTTCTTAAAAGGTATAAAAGGCACACACTTCATCCGGAATTGACCTCACAGCCCATCTCATAATGACTGAAAGACGTTCTGATAGTCTACCTGCTACCTTCCACTTCAGCCAAGACAAGGACCTGCAACTGCTTTTGGAGAAAAGAAAATCGTTGTAAAACAGCTGTTTGTTTTGGCAAAATCCAGTTCTACTGTCACATGCATTTCAGGCAGGAGGACTCGGACCCGATGACATGGGGCTGCTTACCGTTACGGTGACTTCATGTGCAGACCTGTGAACCAGTGAGCCACCCTGCATCTGTCACAGATCCCACAAGGCGCCTGCCCGAAGGGACCAGCCTGGAGCGAGATGGGAAAAGAAGACTTAGGAATGTAAACGTTACGTGCTACCCACATGGACTACTACATTTTAAAAATGAAAAAAAAAAAAATCCTTTGGGGGGTACGTTCACCTCTACCACATCTCCTGGTCCTTCAGATTTCTGTTTTATTTCAACTCAAATTAACACATTTTATTGCTCCATTGTTTCTATCTTTGCCCTTACACAAAGCTGCTGGGGTTGTATATGCAAGGTGGAGAAAAAAGGGAGAGAAATTAAAATAGCCAATCAGGCATTACTATGTGTGTAGGAATTTTGAAAGGAAAGTTTCAAGCTAGATAAAATTACTGCCAGCTCTGATACTGCAAGGGCTCTTATTTCAAAACAAAACATAATTGGAAAGAGCCCCAAACTGGAAACAATTTACATGTCCATCAACAGATTAAAAACGTAAACCAAGTTTGGCATATTAATACAATGGAATATTATTTGGCTATAAAAAGGAATAAAGTCCTGCTATGAGATGAACAAACCTTAAAAACATCATGCTAAATAAAACAATCTAGTCATAAAAAAAAAACCCTGCACACTGTATGATTCCACTTATATGAAATGTCCAGGGTAGGCAAATCCATTGAGACAGAAAGATTAGTGGTTATCAGAGCCCAGGAGCAAGGCTATGATTTAATGATAAATTGGTGTCCATCTGAAACACCTCTGGCAACAGTGCTGTATGCAGGCGACAAACTCTGCACAACTTGTGTATAGACAACACGCTGTAGTCAAACTGGTTATCAGTGGAGCTGATGTTTTTGAGTGACCCTGTTAAGACCTGTTGCTGTCGCTATCCCTCCTCCCGGAGTGAGCGCACCAAAGCAACCTTAGAATCTTTTCTACCTAAAAAGAGGCATAGCCAAGGGGCTAGCGCTTCCCAACTCCCCACTCGTCCCCGCACACTGCCCTTCTACAAGGGTTCCATCTGCGTTTGTGTGTGTGTGTGGTACCAGAGATTGAACTCTGGTCCTTACGCTTGTGCAGCAGGCAGCGAAACCACTGAGCTAAATCCCCGGCCCATCTGCATTCAGTTTTGAAGAAGCCAGCTTCCTATTTCATAAAAAGATCATCCTTCACATCAAATTGTGCTTTTACTTTTCAGTCAGTCTAAACACAAACCAGCCAACCAGCATTTACCTCACGAGATTTACTTTCTTCTTTATAAAATGGTTTTGGTTTTGAATGAATCCAGCATCCTAGAGAGTCTGAATTACCAAAAATCATCTAAAAACTCAAGAACCATGGAAAGTAAATGCCCGTCATTTTCTTTAAGTGCTTATTCAACAGTCTTAAGTGATAATAAAGGGTTCCAGGTTTAATATAATTCAAGTCCATGAGCAAAGCTATGAGTGAAGGTGCTTCTTATTAGTGAATGCATATGGAACCTCATAGAGTGTTTTCAGGCAATTTGAGGAAATTATTTGCAGAGTCGTGTTTCTAGTTATGGCATTTAAAAGAAGGAAATTAAAGGGATTCTACAGGTAAGTTCACAGATCCCTAAGTTTCATAACAGTACATCAAAAAAAGAAAAAGAAACCTCAAAGATATATGAGATAAAAAGTAATAAACCAGGGCAAGAAAAATAATAAGACTTATACAAAATTCATCTAAAACTCCTTGAATAGGAATTAAAAGACACAGAATGAAGCAAGCACAAAGGGATATTGATTTTGCTTATAAAATGAAAAAAATTTAAGTATGAAAAAAATGTCTGCAGTGAAGATGAAACAGGACAATATGCCTTAGAGTAAGCTGAAGCAGAAAGCAAATCACTCTTTTTGGGATTCAGTTGTAAATTACCATGGGGGAAAAATAAGCCTTATGATGAAATTGTTAAATGCCACAAAGTATCAAAATATGAGCAGATGTCACCACAATAAGCTCCAAATTGCTTGTAAATTAAAACATTAAAATCCATAATAATTCAATAAGTAATTAATATACAAACAGCTCTTATTACAAGCTGTTCAGATAAAGGCTTTAGAATCAAATTTCTATTTTCTTTGGTTCAAAACAGATGGTAACTCACAAATTAGTCTTGAAATTGAAGATTATCTTTTATATATGTTATGAAACTCTGTAAGTGTGATTAACTTATCATCTGTGTCATCAACACAAAAAATGGGAATTATGACTACAGTTAATAACATTCTTCTGGTTATAGAACATGTCAGAACTAATTAGTTCATGGCTAGAAACAATGAATTAAAATGAAAAATCAAACATCCTAATATCCGATTATGACTGAGTTCCCCATTGTCAATATCCACAGTAGAACCACCATCAATAAATGGTGCCGGCTAGAAAGTGGAGATCAACGCAGAATATCTGTGTGAGATAGAAATTATTGTAACAATGCAGTGGATTCTTTACTCTTATAAGTTATTGCCAAGACTTGGTAAATATAAAAAGAATTCCAATTTTCCACTTGTTCTCAGCTCTTGGCATGACACGGCATGGCATAGTGAACAAGTATCCCAATAGCCCTTCTGTTCAGGTGGTGTCAGGTCCTTGCAGGTGCTTTCTAACCTGATAGAAGAGGTTTTGCAGGTAGTGTACAAGCACAACTTGTCATTCTACCTTTAAAACACTGGTCATGAGTTGCTCCCCTTCCCACGCCATGACCTTAGGGATTTGTTACCATCCCTTTTTAGAATACTCCATTTGGGACTGTTACACAAGGAACAAATGCTTTTTCTGTTGCCCACCACTGTATTATTATTTTTTGTGTGTGCCGGGGATCGAACTCAGGAACTTTTGCTCGTGAGGCCAGTGGTGGCACTACTGAGCTAAATCACTGGCCCCACCACTGTATTTTTGATGTTTAGCTATTGCCCGAGTAGGAATACAGAATCCCCGGGGATGACCGCTTTTCCTCAGCTCTCTTTTCTCCCTCATTGTATTCTGGGTTTGTTCCTGCTATATCATTCAGAACATGTATTACACCTTTCCTGCCCTCATAGGAGGAAGGACAAGTTGATTTCCATAGTACATAATAAATGAACGAATGACATACCACATGCCTGGCCAACTAAAACATCATAGTAGCTATGTATGTACTATAACATAAACTTTAGAATCTACAACATTTATTTCTTCATGTCTGCCTTAATTTTATTACAAAATATCAGAAGGAAATGTAGCATTTTCATAGGGACATCACAATTCTGAACAATTTCCCTGGGGTTGCTTTGTTTTGTTTTTGCAGTGGTGGGTACTGAACCCCGGGGCCTCACGCATCCTAGGCAAGTGCTCTACCACTGAGCTACAGGCCTAACTCAGGAGTTATTTTTACTAGCATTTATCTTTTTTCAGTACTGGGCATCGAACCCAGGGCCTTCACACTGTTCTACATCCTCAGCCTGTTTTCTTTGGAGTTAGGGTTTCACTAGGTTGCTAAAATGCCCAAGCTAGGCTTGGACTTGTAATCCCCCTGCCTCAGTTTCCTAGTCTACTAGGATTACAGCTGTGTGTCACCATACCTGTATCTTTCATTAGCATCTTTGAAGATTTTTTTTTTGGGAAAAAAGAAATACCAAGAGAAAGTTTTAAAGAAATGGATCCAGGAAGGCTTGCTACTTTCTCCCTATTTTTCTCATTCTTTGTTTCCAAGTACAAGCACCAGTTAGCACTGGGTTTATAAGCAGCATTCCTACTACTTGAACTAACATCTCACCTACCCAGACACCTTTAAGCATATGTGAGCCAGTATTCACCAACAATTAACTTTCTGCCCTTTAAATCTTCATGCAATAATTGTTTTGGTTATATATGCACTTATTTAAATATATTGCCATGTATTTAATTTGAGCAGTTAGGAAGTCTAGCCAAATGGCGCCCACAACTCACCTAAATTTCATCCTAAATGCAAACAGGTAGGTTTGTTTATTCCCATTGGACTCCAAATCCTTTACATCACTTTCCAATAGTGCTTTGGGGCATCTCTGCAGATTTGTAAAACAACTGAAGGGATTTTAAAGTAAATATAAGAAATGATGATCAAAAGCAATGAGCAATTCTTTTTTAATGCTATGTTTTCAAATCTTAAAAAAAGCATTTTCCTGCTAGGCAGTCGGGTTTTTTGGAAATTATATTCTTTGTCTATGAGGAAAACATTAGCAATTTAAAGCCTCCTCTTTAAAAATGTCAAATTCCAAAATATTTTCATCATTCCAAAAGGAAATCCTAAAAAAAAACAAAACAAAACACATCACACATGTGATTCAATCCAACTAGACTTCCCCCTGCAACCTTCATGGTTGTTTCTTCTTGGTGTTTAGTTGGGGTAGAACATCACTGAACATAAAGTTAATTCAGTGGCACTTCATACACTCAAATGTGAAGTAACTACCACCTATATCAAGTTCCAACACATTCGAGTCACTCCACAGGAAACCCTCGCCCTATTAGCAATTGATTCCCCCCCCCCCCACAGCTATGGCAACTGACTGTCAGATTTGTGTCTCTGTAGACTTGCCTGGCCAGGACAGTTCATGCAAACATGAATTATACAATAGGATGCGGGGTCTCTTGTGTCTCGCTTCTTTCTGTTTTCAAGGTTCCTCTGGCAGCACAGACCAGCACTTCATTCTTTTTACAGCCGAATGCCACTGTACCAACGGATCCACTCTGCCACTGTGCAGGCGGTGGGCACTGGCGATTATGCATGGTACCGTTAGGGACATCCTCGACCACAAGTATGTTTGAGTGTCTATTTTCCATTCCTTGCGGTGCTACTGAGTACCCCAAGGGAATATAATCTTATCAGTGTCCGGCTTGAGATAAACCTACTCCTCCCCAGGAATGAAGGATGCAGACGGCAGAGGTAAAGAGAAGCTGAGCTGGCAGAAGCCGGGACCTAGGGCACAGCAGAGGTGTGGCCCCAGCTGGCAAGACATCCGACAAAGGGGTGACTGTGCGAGAAGGAGCCAGGAGCCTGGCAGGGTACCTGCCACCGCTGGCTGG